CCCTATATATATATATATTTTTTTTTTTTTTGCATGAAAAAAAATCAATAACTTTGTTATGAGTCCAATAAATAATCTGAAAACACTTTCATGCAAATCATAAATTAAATATATAAAATATAAACACAATGAAATATTAATGTTTACAATTTGTTTAATTTTTCTGGTATTTCACTTTTACTGATACAAATATTCAGAAATCTAATCGAAATATGTAGGTAAAAAAGTATCCGAAAATATATGAAATCCAACACAGCATGTATCGCATGCTAATACCAAAATTTTTTAAAATATCAGTGCTTCCTAATTAATCACTCACCTTTGACATTTTAAAAGCAAGAATAGTTGAATAATCTCTAGAAACATACCGAATTATTTATCTTTTCTACAACATAAAAACTAATCGTTCAAATAAAAAGATAGCATTCGCGTTTTGATATTCAATATTGGAAATAGACTCTATTTATTCACCAATTTTAAAATCTAAAAGAATACGATCGATGATCCACCAGTATCTTTTTTTAGGAAAAAGAACTCTGGAAATAGAAAATTTTCCTTAATTAACTAGGAAAAAAATAAAATAAAATAAAGTTGTGATGTCTTCCTATTTGAAATAGAATGGTAAGAGCATGAGTCATTGTCACATAATTTTCAAATATGATCACGTTTTCTATTTGGGAAGCCACTTTTTGAATTTAAAAAAGAAGCTAAAATTACTAAAACTACCAATCCAAGTAAATTCAAAAATGGTAAACGGGTATATAATTTATTTTACAAGCGTATAACCAGAGATTTATCCTTAAATACCTTAAAAATAGATAAAGAAAGTTTATTTTAATCCGCTTCTAGTGTACACTCCTTTCTTAAAAAAAATTTAGTACTTAATTAAACAAGTCATCAAAAATACTTTTTAAGCAATATATTTAACTACCTTTTTTGAAAACTTTCCGCAAATAGTGAACTATTTATATAAAACATCCATAAAATATACTAAACATTAGCGTATTTTGTTCATTTCAAAGACGAACATTATTAGAAAATAGAAATTTAAATCAAAACAATATCAAAGATAAAATCCGGGATCTCATCTTAGAATAGATTTTACCTAACCCCTAATTTGGTTGAGAAAATATACTATTGTTAAAAGAGAAATTTTGATGAGGAAAGAAACATGAGCATGGTTGGTTGAAATTGAAATTCCTAGTACCATCCAAACATAAAGTAACATTGTATGAGAAAAACGTTCCTAGAAGTGGCGATTACCTACTCCCCAAGCAAATAGTAACCCATAATAGGATCATTGCCACACATAGTAATCCATCTGTCACCTTTCCCTCAATACTCTAATTTTGGTCACTCTATCCATACTTGGGGGTCTCTGCAGAATCTCAATCCATTCCAACAACAAAATAGTTGTGTTTTTTTTTTTTTTTTGTGTGCTGTGCCTATTGTATATAAATAAAGACCCTCTTCTGGGGTCCTTTTTTTCATGCCCATCTTTCCCCTCTTGTGGTGGGTTCAGTGTTTGGTGAATAAGTTGAAATAAAGGAAGGAGCTTTGTGAGAGGGAAGAGGAAAAGGCATGGGGAGGGGGAAGATTGAGATTAAGAAAATTGAGAATTTGAACAGCAGACAGGTTACCTTCTCCAAGAGAAGAAATGGGTTGCTCAAGAAGGCCAAAGAGTTGTCTGTTCTATGTGATGCAGAGGTTGCTGTCATCATATTCTCTAGCACTGGCAAGCTTTATGAGTTTTCAAACACAAGGTGCTTGCTTGATCCCTTTGAAGCCTTTTCTTTAAATTTGAAACCTGAGCATGACCCTTTGAGGATTTTGTTGGTTTGAGATGTGGGTTAGTCTTGTAGAAAAATAGTTCTTTTTTTATTTAGTTTTTTGGTGTGGTGATGCATTATAGTCCTGTTTCCCTGGACAGGAAATCTTGTGGACCAAGTAAACAGAATTACTGTTCTTTGTTTTTGGACCACTGTTTAAGTATTAATAAAGGGGAACAATGGTTTGTTTAAAAAGGGAAAATAATGTGGAGAGTTTTCGCATGCAAATCTTTGATTGGGATTTTTGTAGGGTTTGTGTTAAGAGTGTAATTCTGGTGAATTATCTTTTGTTGTAAAAAGAGCCCCCTGGATGCCAATGGTGAGATTATTAAGAAACTTATGAGAGGAAATTGACCCTTATACTAAGAGAGATTTTTTGTGTAGCCATAGAATTACACTCTACATGCATTTTTTGCGTATGAAATCAGTAAAAGAGCTAATATTGAAAGTGTGTATGCATTTGGGTTGATGAGTTGAAGAATCTCATCATGTTCTATTCTAGATTCTTACTGCCAAAAAAAAAACCCTATACTAGTAACCATCACATTAGGGCTTATATTTTCTGATGCTTTCTTTTCTTGTCCTAAATTCTGGCTTAATGAGTTATTGACAATTAACCGTGTTTAGACTAATTTATTTTGAGAGCTTCCTAAGAGTATTTTTATAATTAGTAATTATTTTTTTTAAAATTTAGCTTAACGAAATAAGGCTAAAATAAAACCTATCTTTTTGTTTTATCTTTCAAAATTTTGTTCTCATTTTTTAAATGCAGAGATATGAACTTAAAGTGTTAGCGTTAGACACTTTGTATACACATTTTGGAGACGTTTTATTTATGTTGTGTTAGATCTCGCCATGTGTGAAAACCCTTCAAGACCGCTATCATGAGTGAAATTAGTCTATGATCTACTGGGTTGAAATATGGGTGACGGCAAAAGAAAATACAAAGATAGGATTGTGATAGAGGATTTGATTCCATTAGATTCAATGTTAATTTGCAAGTCAAAGCTCATTACGGTTATTTTAGTAACTATCAAATGCTTCTACTCTTATTGTAATTGCTAATTTGATTCATTTGAGGCTTTCACTTTCTTATGATCAAATGAATTTTATTTTATTTATGTAGCATGGAGCATATCCTTTCAAGGTACAGTAAAGGCGTGGAATCGGATTGTGCAGAGCAACCTCTTGGTGTGCCCCCAACACATGTATTTGAAACTGTCTCTCCAATATCTTAAAAGCATTACCTTTTTTTAATAACTCCAACCCTTTTAAATTCATTTTTTTTTTCAGTATATAGTTTGAAGTGTTATTATTACGTACTTTTAATCAGGATATGGAGGGTGATACTAACCTTCTGAAGGACGAAATAACAAAGCTCCGTTCCGCGTACATGTAAGTTTTGCTGACACTTTACATCATGATCGGTAATGCTATTGTAAATAACAGAAGCAATTGTTACTGTACTAGGATGAATGGCCCCAGAAAATAACTACCTCAATGAATTTCACGTATTTTCTATTTATCTTGTGTTGTTATTTTTCATCAAAATCTGAGTCCAGATTTTGTACTGATAATATTTTCAAATCATGTAGAAGGATGATGGGTAAGGAGCTTGATGGATTGAGCCTTAAAGAACTGCAGCACCTAGAAAATCAACTAAGTGAAGGGATACAAGCTGTCAAAAACAAGAAGGTATCGAGAGAAAACTAATACTAACAGTGGTGTAATTGATTGTATTATTTTGAAATGCCATTTCCTTTCAAGATTTTTTATTCCTTTCCAGTTAATATGATCAGATTTAGACATTATTGTGGCGCATATTCAAGCATTTGGATTTTTGGTATTAAAAATATAACCTTTGTATCTGGAGAAAAATAAGAGCCCAAGATCATATTAATTTGAACAACTGCGTAGCAAGAGTTTGATCTTTTTAAGTGCAAATTGACCAGATTTACAAAAGCCAATTTTTGTCCCTGAAACAACATTGACTTCATTAACATTACTATATTCTCATTGTTCCTAGATTAATGGTGATCGTATGTGTAACTGTAAACTGTAGCTAGTTGTTTATCATGATTCTTTTTTCAGTTATATTTTTCCCCTGTTTTGATTATGTGTAGTATAATTATAAATTGTTTAGTATGTATTATATACTGGATTGATAATTAGATTGTAAATAGGTTAATTATTTTTTGTTTCTTTTCGTCTGTATCAGTTACAAAATTCACAACTTCTTCAGTTCAAGATTTGCTAATTATGAATATGCTGTCATTAACCTTATTCACTCACTACAATGTTTCAGGAACAAGTACTTGTGGAACAGCTTAGGAGGTCCAGGATACAGGTACATGGTTGCACTTGTAGTTTTCATCTCAATTTTCATTTGGCAATAAAATAGATGTAAGGAGTAATAGAGATACAAAATGCATAGATAGTTTTGGCCTTAAAGCTTTTTTGTAATATACCTTGTGTCATAAAATGTAATAATGGATAGATTTTAGAAGTGTGCATGGCCCAACTTGCTAAAGATTAGCTAGTGAAGAGACAATATTTATGGTATTTTTGTTCCCATATAATCATAGGAGATTAATTTACATTCTTCTTCAATCTTCTTTCTTCATGGTTGATGAGAAATAAAGGGTTATACTATAGTGGAAGAGAATTTCAAATACACCTTTCTTTTTTATAATTGATCATTTAATAAGTTTTTCAAATATATTCACCCTGCAGGAGCAAAAGGCAATGCTGGAGAATGAAGTTCTGCGCAAACAAGTAAGAATCAAACCTGACTCAAAAGTCAACTATAATTATGTCAAATTAACTTTTCACCATAAACAGTCTATCTTTTTGTTCATCTTTAATCTTTTAATTGTAAACAGCTTGAGGAGATGCAAAATAAAACAAAGACACAGTTCCTTGAATTCAGTTCTTTGGATAGGACATTTTCCAAGAATGGTTCAAAATCCCTTTTCAATTGTACTTCAGAGGAAAATGACCTTTCAGATACTTCCTTGCAGTTAGGGTATGTCATCATAACTCCATTTTTGCTTTGAAATCTATGTTTTAAACTGTTATGTGAATTTCATTTATATGGGGTCTAATACTTAGAAGCTGAAATATAGCTACTATGTATAGTATTAGTGCTTCTATTTTTTTGGCTATAAATTTTGTGTTGATATTTATTTTTAACATTTTAATTAAGTAGCTTAGAACCATGACCTAAGAAATGATTGTGATTTTTCACAAGGTGTAGAAGTTGAGATTACTTTGACCATGTGACAAAAGGGTTTCTGTTCAAAGTCATTTTAAATGCTCATGAATTTTCTTCTTGTTTTAGGTTGTCAACAGATTATGGTCGCCAGAGGAAAGCATTGAAGATAGAACCTTGCAATGATTCAGGGAGTCAAGTGGCTTCACAGTGACATCATTTTTGTACTGAAAACTTACCTTTCAAGAACCTGGGAAACATGGCCTGGTTTTTTAGTTTAGGTTATAGAAATAGTTTTAGCCTTTAGGCTAAATTAAATAAATTTATATTTAGTTCGTAATAAATTTTTGGCTTTCACCAGCGTTTGATTACGAAACTAGTTTAAGTTTACATACTAAATGACGCACCATGTTGAAATACTTTAGTCATTCAGTTCAACCAAACAGTTTTCAGTAAGGATACGCTTGGTTGACTGGATAAAATTATAAAAAAAAAACACTTAAATCTGTATATCTATATTTATTTATCTATATATATGCGTGCATGAGTGCAATTGTGATAATTGTTTTGGAAAATTTTAGGTCAATGATAAGTATACTTTTATTAATTTGTAAATTGTTGATAATATTTTTATTTTTATTTTATCTAACATGCAAAAAATTTGATCTAAGCAACAAGCATACTGCAAGAATATAAGAACAACTAGACAAGAGAATAATCTTTAGAGAAAACCTCCATGGAAGAACCAAAGTTCATGATACCAAATATGATGAAACTAACTTGGAGAAGATGGATGATTCTCTTCAACTAGCTCCATTATGTTCCCTTTCTTCTTCCATGGATTCCAAAGCTTCAAAGAGATTGAAAATAATGGATAAGGAGAAGAGATGAACCTACCACTTCAAGGTAGAGATTGGCAAGAAATGAAGAACTTTCCACAAGGAGGAATTTCTTAATAAAAGTTCATAAGGAGAGAATTTTTTCAAGAAAGAGAACTAAGACTTTTTAAAAAGAAAACTCAAAAGTTTATTTCTCACAATATTCAAAAGTGTATCGTATTCAAGAGACACTTATTTATAAGTTTGGTAGCTTGTGGTGCAAGTTAAGATAATTCAGGTTAGGTTAACTTGAACTCAAAACTACTAACATTAGTTATGATTCAAAATTAAAAATTTCCTTATGAATATGTCACTATCTTAGATTTAGAAGAGTTAATAAGAACTTGTCACATTGCAAGGTAAGGAAAGTGTGACTCATGTCTCCATCATAAATCTAGAAGAGCCTATAGGAGGTTGCCACATGGTATAGTGTGTAAAGTGTGATTAAACAAGGGCATGTGACATGTTGGCTACTTAGATAGCTTATGTGACATCCTTGTTCCCTCCATGTTGGACATCCAACACACTTGCATAAGCAAGTGGATGTCGACTTGGAGCCAAGAGACGATGTTCATGGGCCAATTAAGCCCAATAAGTTCAACTAGCCTTTACTAGTTACACCATTCCTAATATACGATTTACGTCCTTAAAATAAAAGTACAAGGACATAAATTTCTACACTACTTGACCATAAATGTAAGGTCAAAAATAAAGAAAAATATTTATAAAGAAAATTATACACAAAGAGAAAATGGACTAAGTAATTAATTTATCACTCAAAAGGAGTTTAGGTCTTCTACTTTCACCACGAGTCCATTCCTCTTCATCCTCCTTGACATTGTCTTTGTGATAGGTCTTTTGGTAGACAATATGTCATCAGGTAACAAGAAACAATGTTTTGCCAATGGAAGGAACATGAGAACAATAGTTTAGTTCCAAAAATAACCCAAATGAAAAGGTCTATATAGCTAATGTAGCAACCTTTGCTTCATTTCAAGCTTGAAGGTCCACTTTACCCTTTTGTCAACTTTCTACTCTTATGCAATTACTTCACATTATTATAAATGTGAGAATCATATTGGTATCCAATACCCATGATGTTGAAGTAGATGAATTGACTTTTATAACATAAATACCTAAAGTTGAAGTCTCACTTCCCTTCTTCTTTATCCACTTCTAGGTATATTTGAGCAATTTCTTCTTTCAAAGTTTGGTCCAACTATAATAGAAGCATGAAGCATCTTCTAATCACACCACTTCTAGGTATGGACACTCAATGTTTCCAACCACCTGAAGCATCCCTCCCAAGATATTCATTATACGGGTCTTTCTCACTAAATACAAGGAAGTCTATGCTAGATGGAATCAAATGAAAGCTTTATCTTCATTTCTTACACCACTAGAAGATGATTTTTCCCAAAAGCAACTAGCATTGTTCATTATTATCAATGTAGGCTCCCTTTTAAACATATGTATGCCAATTTGAATTAAATATGTTAGTCCTAGACTTGAGATGTCTAGTTTTAGACTTGAAGAATGTTGAAAATCTTATATTAACTAATAATATAATCAAATTAGAGTATATAAGAGAGTTGAAGTTGATTCATATTCTTAAACATATCAAAATATTGACGATGCATATGAACCACATATAAATGGTGGGTCCTTTTCTGATTTAGTTGCAATTTTATTTTATTCTTTTACTTTCTTTTGATAACAAACAATTATATTCATCTAACCTGCCCTTGTCAAATTGTGAGGGGGAACTATAGGTGATAGTAATGGTGTAATTAAAAAAAAAAGAAAGACGTATATAATATTTTTATACATTTTCAGAAGAAGAAGAAAAAAGTAAGATTTTCTAACTGGTGGTGCCGATTCTGCCCCATGGATGAAATGACAAACATTATTCCGTCATTCTTGTATTAAAATGGTTAGTTAACCAATCCAATGAACTTTGGCGGCAAAATCCTGGGTTTGAAGCCGTCCAAACTGATAATTAATTAAAATTGTATTTTTTATAGGCCAATGATGACGACTATGGATGAATGAGTAGCATAATTTATTTAGCTTAGACATATGATTAATTGAAGTGTTAATTTGTTTGTTTTTATTTTTTTTTATTTTTTATAATTAATCATGGTTTCCAAAAGGATGGGGACAAAGTGGCTTCTCAAACAGCATAATTCTCCATTGACCTCCCTTATCATGCTCGTCACCCTCGTGTCATGCAACTTTGCCATATATTCCCCACTTTCTAGGGTGGCAGCAGCACGCGCCTCCATATCATATACATTTTTCATTCGTCTTTATCAATACTCATGTCCTTTCGTTCCTCACTCCCCCACATTAATATACTATACCATCAACAATCCCATTTTATTTCTAAATTAACAATTTATGTTCTTTCATGTTATAATACGCGTGTTGTTTTCCATATCTTGGAGAGTTATAAGTCATAATAATGGTGTGAGTTTTTTTTTTTTTAAAAAAAAAAGATCGTATGACTTTTTTTTCCTCGACTCATTTTTTTTAGTCATTTAAGATATGTTTCCATCCATCTCTTCTAGGGAAAAAAAAAAAAGATATGTTAAATTCTTACGCTCAATTTATTAAATGGTATAGTTCATTTCATGCTTACATTTATTAAGTTTAAAATTAAGTCTTTCGTGTTGAAGTATCCAAACTTTGGTCAAACTCAAGCACTACCTCCACATGTTTAGCTTTATAAACTTGCATGACCTAACGATTTTGTAAATATAAAAGGTATAGCTTTATAATGCATAGCCTTTTTCTTTTATAACTACGAAACTATAATTTCTTTCTACATGATCGGTTCATTTTAAGAATAAAATATATATCTTTCCAACACAACTCTCTATGCTTAAATTGGAAATCATACTTTAATTCCTAGTTAATTAAAAAACACAAGTGTTGGATTAATTGTACAAATGATTTTGTTTTTTTTGTACATCACCCATTTTTTTAAGATATATTTTGTGAGAAAAACGTACAAATTTAATATCATTGCGTAAAGGAAAAATGATTATAAAATAGTGTACTACTACTTGTGTGTGCCATTAATTCTATAAGCTAGACTAACTAAAGAAGAATCTAGGATTTTGAGATCTGGGTAGTTGTTAGTTCACACGAATGTGCATGTAGGCACTCAAATGTTTATAGATAGCATAATACTAGCTTATTATTGGACTTGAAGATGTGCAATAAAGTTCATTAATTAATAGACAAAATCCCTTCTTAATCAAGGGTTATGGTTTGTTTGGGATATTTGCCACTGTTTGGGGTCCTTGGTTGGGCGTGTTTGCAGATATATAATAACATCAAATCAATGTGCATGTCTCACGAATGTGTCTCAGTTTTCCTAGTATTTATTTATTCACTTTTGGACTTCAGCAGCAGGTCCCCCTCACGCATGTTTCAACAATAATTATCATATCTCTTAATGATTTTAATCCAACGGTCAATATAAAATCGTAGAAACAAACTAAACTTGAATGACCTAGTGAATGCCGAATATTAAATGGGTATCAAAACCAGATAAATTTTAAGATTTTATCTCCGCATTCCCCGATTAATATTTTTTACTAGGTGAAATATTAAAATTGTTTACTCTCTGCATTTTACATTTTAAATTTTTATTATATACAATTAAAATTTATAATAAATTATGTATATAAATAAATGTTATAGTTGAATATAGGTTATATTTGAAATTCTTATAAATAGATATTTGAAAATATCAATTATATTTAAATTAAAAAATAATTTATATCGTGATTTAATATTATTTTTATTAATTATTGATAATTTATTTTAAAAATATTAAAATTTAATTTATAAATAAATATGATAAATAAATAATAAAAAAATTATGTTAAATTAGAAGTTAAAAGAATCTCTAAAATTTTCTTTGTTGAAGAATATCCCCTAAAAATGTTCTTACGTGAGAAAATCTTTCACATTTAATATATAGGAGTTAATTTGTCCCTATTCAATATCTTGTTACATGTTGATCTTAAGATTTGACAACTTTTATTTTTACTTTCCACAAAAGTTGCAATTGGAAATACAATTTATTAGAAAAAGTTATACCCCTTGGGTTCTTAATATAAGTAAAATAGAATAGAAACATTGCTACATCATTTAATTTTGTTAATCTCACCTAAAAAATACTTTATACTTCTAAATTATCCTTCCTTGAAATGTAATAAAGAATAAAAAAGAGATATTGAAAATACAATCCCAATTAAATGAATAAATATTTTGGGATGACAACATCAATTAAGACTAACAAACATAAATATTTTTTTTTTGCTTATATTCAGAATTGAAGGAGAGTACTTATTTATTAAAAAAAATTTGATAAACAACTTGGAAGGACCGAATGGAGTCCTCATCGAGCAATCTATGATACTTGAATTCAATACTAGCAACAATCAGGTCAAGTATGAGGCTCTGTTGATAAGGATGGATGATCTTACCTCATGAAATGGGCATTTAGAATTTGGTGGCACGTAGTGACTCACAATTTGTAATCGGTCAAGTGATCCACAATTTCCAAAACTAAGGATTAATTTCCAATTAGCTAAATATTTGGAAAAAGTTAAGTTGACTTCGGTATGCCAACTTTTCACTTTCCCATGTGTCGAGAGATCAAA